CAACTCAGGGAGATGCTGGGGGACCCCTGGCTTGCGATGCTGTGGTTGATAGGTGGCATCCCATCAGCCCCAACCCATAGCAACCCCGTGCACAGCAGTATGAACCCCGGCCTCACAAATGCCCTTATGCCCGAGCCCATTGTGGCGGCCACTGTGTCCATCCATCTGGTCGAGGGCCATCCTCTTTTTCCGCCGGGCCTCCACTTGACCGAGCATGGTGACCACCTCCGGGGACTGCTCTCCCTGACAACAGGAGCGTCTTGGCTCCGTCCTTCAGGACGGCCGGGTTTGTTCAGTCCATGTACTCCCCGTGTTCAGTCCATGTACTCCCCGTGTGCCTCGCCAGCACAGCCACCCTTCTTCAGTCGGCCTCGTCAGTGTCCCGTGCACAGCAGGAGGAGGCCGAGTTTGCCAGGGACAGGTGTTTCTCATGGCTGCAGGGCTCAGGGGCCCCGCGGGGTCCCAGGGACGCTGATGGTTTTCTTTGCACCTCGATAGCCTGGGAGAGAGTTCTATTTGCCTTCGTTTCTTTCAACAACAAAAAATGACTTTATTTGTTGCCGCTGTTGGGTGTATATGCAGCAGAACGTATTCTGGTTTAACAGCTGCGCACAGACGCGAGGATCGTGTTTCTCCGTGTACAATGGAACCACCCTGGTGCAGTCCCCGAGGGGTGGGGCCATTAGCCCCGCCTTTCCCGGGCGGCTCCTCCCCCGCCCTGACCACTGGGCTCTTCAAAGAGCTCTAGGCGCCAGGCAGCTGCTCCTTATCCACTACGCTGGGGCAGGTCCCTCCCCCAGGGGCTGCTGGGGGCTCCAACTGCAGACCCTCCGGTTAGCGGCCCCGCGCTGGACCACGGTGTCCACAGGCCTCCATTCCACCAGTGCAGGGGTTAAGGTTTATAACATATTTGGGGGAAGACCGTCCGACCTGACACTCCTGCCCACCTGTAAACTCGCTGAGACCCGGGTAGGAGGGCCAGCCGGGCAAGGGGAAAAGGTGGAGAAGGGGGCTCTATTTGGAGGGGGTATAGGATAGGTGCTCCAGCGAGGGGTGAGGTTGGTGCCTGCAGCACCCTTGGAAAGCACCCACTTGCTTCTTTCGACAGCTGTTTTTGAGGGGCACCACATTTGAGGTGGGGGGCCTGTTGGGGGTCACAGCCTGGAGGAAGTGTCAGAGGTGGGATACTTCTCCCTGAGAGGGCTCTCCAGGGAGGGTGGCAGGGTGTGGTCGGAGCGGGAGCCTGGGGACAACGCTGTCTCCCCGCCCCTCCCCCTCCAAAGTCCGACGGGGCCCAAACCCAAGGCTAGGATTATAGAACATAAAGCCCGTGCCATCAAGCCGATTCGGACTCTTGGCGACACTGCAAGAAGGAATACTACTACCCCCATAGGTTTGCAAGGCTGTCAATCTTTGAAGGGGCAGGCAGCCTCCTGCTTCGTCCGCGGAGCGGCCCTTGGGTTCAAACGGTCGACCTCGAGGTTAGCAGCCCCGTGCTTAAATGCCAACCTCAAATGTAACTGGAGAGGGGCAAACTGGGGGGGTCTGGCACAGCGA